TCCCCCCCCCCCCCCCCCTGCCGCTCCAACTCTCCCATTCCGAGAATGGCAACAGGCACGCACGAGATGGCGAGACGGCGAGACGGTCACCTCCCGCGCCACAAACCACCACCACACCCATCGTCATACACCTCACTCCCCTTCTCACATATCTGTGCAGTGGCGTTGATGTCGAGGGCTGCTTGTGGTGTTCGCTACTCTGGTGGTGGTGGTGGTGGTGGTGGTGTGCTGGTGGTGGTGGTCGCTCTCTTAGCTCTTGCGCTGCCTCGGACTGAAGCTGTGCTGACTCCGCCTTCTTCGCTCTCGGCTACGGCTGTGGGCCTCTCGTCGGCTACGCTCTCGTTTACTCTCCCGGCGGTGCTTCCGTGTTGCTTCTCCATTCATTACTCTGGTGATGACATCCCGGGCGCAGAGGTCATTCTCGAGCTGATGGTCGAGGAGACGTGGAGCCCGTCGACGAGCCAGTCTTTTGAGCTCAAGGCTCTGCCGTCCAACGCCTCGGTCACGGTGTGGATGGAGAGTCATGATGCGGCCGTTGGCATTGCTGGACGTAACTCGTCGGCGCCGACCTCGTCGATTGTAGTCCAGACAAAGGCTGCAGCGCTCTCGTGCAACTCGCCCATTGCCATGGCCTCATCGGCTGCGTTTGGCAACCGCTTCCGCGGCAACAACTATGTCATCGGCTCGACAGAATCCGTTCTCGTCGACTTTGGCCTTCAACTGGATATTTCGTCGTCGATGACGATCTACTTTGCGGTGTACGAAAAGGTGTCGGGCTCAAGCGGATATGTCGAGATCTTGCGCGAATCGCGGGTGGCCGTGCCGTCGGAGGGCACATACAAGTACCACTCGGGCGGCGGTGCTCGCTCGCTTGCGCTTGTTCTCAAACCATTTGCCGAGTACGTCATCGGCTCTTTCTGGCTCGCCGAGACGCCAACGTACTTTTTCTCGTCATCGGCGCCGGCCGTTACCTCGTTCTGCTTTGGCGACCTCGACTCGGGCGCCGCCGCCAGCGTGGGTTCGGCGTCAGGGCCAACGCCGTCGTCGATCTCGCTCAGCTCGTACTACGGTATGGACGTGGTTGTTGCCGCAGCTGACTCACTGCCGCCGTCGCCGTCGCTTGCCGTCTCGCAGTTGCGGCCTGATTCAGCGGCGGTTGCGGCTGGGCCGATTGTGTTTAGCTCGCCGCTGCTCGAGTACCATGCGCTGCTCGCAACGCGGCCTGTCGGCCCGTCCTCAGTCTACCGCCGGCTTGATCTCGGTGGTACGGCCGGAACACTGGTCAAGGTTCGCGGCCTCAGCGCTGCAACCGACTACGCTGCCTTTCAGCTGGTCTCGGTCTCGAACGATGTGTCGGACCTCTCCGCGGCCGTCAATTTTACTACGCCGCCGCTGCCTGTTGTGGCGCCGGCTGCCGCGCCGACGGCCACAGTCCGTGTTGTTGGACGTTCGCTGGCCGTGACGTGGAATGAGGTCGACGCGTTTCCGACCTCACACGTTGTCGGCTACCGTGTTGCTGGCTCGAGCTCTGCGTATACCACTGTGGCACTCGGCGTGGTGTTTGAGCACTCGTTTGACCTCCTCGACTTTGAGACAACGTACGAGGTTGTAGTCACCGCGTACAACGGAATCGGCCCGTCGCCGACCTCGAGCCCGGTCGAGGGCACCATTCCGGCCCTGCTCTGCATCGACGAGCCCAATCCCGGGCTTCCAACTCGCGTCTCGACCACCTCGCGCAGCGGGTATGTGGCCAACCTGGTGGTGCCCAGCCGCCCGTTGGCACTCTCGGAAATCAAGGTCTACGCTGTGTATGACGGCATCAAGACCCTGAGGTTCCTCGTCCGCAAGGTTGCGGACGGCGAGGTGCCGTTTGCGGCGGGCCCGCGCGACCTTAGCACTAAGCCTGCCGATGTGCTTGTCGACAAGTCGTTGGTCATCGACGCGACCGTTGCCGACTCTCCGGCGTTCAAGTCGTCAGGGCCTGTCCAGGCGCTGCTTGTTCCGGGTGAGACATACCACGTCGGAGTCATCTTCTCGTCGGCGGCCTCGCTCAAGTACATGACCGACTGCGACGAGGGCCTGTGCACCTCGGACCCGGCGAGCGCGCCAAGCGGGCTCTGCCTCAACCCTGTCGGCTCGGCTACTCGGTCCGGAGTGGCGACAACTGGCGATGCGGCGACAATTGCGACGACGTCGGTGAGCTACGGCTTTTCGCGCTACTTTATGGAGCTCTCACTGCTTGCGCTTGCTGACGCACCGCCGACTGACCTGCGTCTCGCGGTAGGCAGCACGGTCCTGCCGACCTCGGCGCAGGTGGCGTGGAAGACGCCGCTGTCGGGCGTGCCGTCGGTCGGCTACCTTGTACAGCTCTCGACGACGTCAGCGGCCGGCCCATGGTCCGATGTCCTGTCGACGGCGAGCACGTCTGTTGAGGTGACCGGCCTCGCCGGCGGAACCACCTCGTGGCTCCGCGTTGTGGTCTCGGGCTCGACAAGCCTTGCCTCCAACACGCTGAGCGTGACGACGCCGCCGCTGCCGGTTGCGGCGCCAGCGGCTCCGACGGGAGTCTCAGCCAGCATCAACAGCGCGACGGGCCAGCTCGACGTGGCGTTTGGAGGCTCAATCACGGCGACGTCGTACGAGCTCCGGCTTCAGTGGGTCGGGATCCAGAGCGATGTTAGTGTTGTCGACATTGGCACTGCGACCGTGGTCAACATTACCCAGCCGTTTGCTCTGCCGAACACGGAGCTGGCAGTTGTGGTGGCGGCGGTCAATGCTGTCGGGTCGACGGCGGCGGCAGCGGTGACACTGGTCACGCCTCAGAGCTCGGTCGGGCCGCCACCTACGCCCGGGCCGGCCTCGATTATCTCTGCGTCAACTGTGCTCTCAGATCTTTGTCCGTACGGCATGCCGGCGACCGGCTCGAAATCGGGTGTGTCGCGAGTCGGCGGCGTGTACTACGCGCGCGAAGAGTTTACACTCCGGTATCTTGCGATCCAACTGTACTCGACGCAGTCAACTGCGACGCGGAACTTGGCCGTGACCATCCGCAGCTCGACGCATGCCTCGTTTGACTTGTTTGACGTTGTTCTGTACTCGCAGTCGCACTTCTTTTCGTCGTCGCCAGGCCTCCTGCCGCCGAGCTCGTCGCGGTATCTGATGACCCGCGAGGCGATCAACGTCGTTATTCCGGCTGGCACTTATTATCGCATTGATGTGGCGGTGAGCTCCCTCTCGCTGGCACAATCCAACCTGTTTGAGTTTGCCAGCCAAGCGTGTAACCTGGTGACAACGTCGGCGGTGGTGCCCGTGGCGACGTACCTTGACGATTCGAGCTCATCGTCGCGCCCGCCGCCGCCGCCGCCGCCGCCGCCGTCGCCGCCGCCGGGTGCACCGCCGTCGCCACCACCGCCGCCGCCGCTGAATATCCAAGACGTGTACTCGCAGGCACGATCGACACCTCTGGTGTTGATGCTGGCGCGTGTGAGTAGCGCGATCTACGCAGCGCCACCGCGCGATGTGCAGATCACCACGCCGTATCCGAGCTCTGCGGTGGTGACGTGGCGCGAGCCAATCTTTGGCGTGCCAGACAGCTACCGGGTGAGCTACCGGTTGACTGGCGAGTCTTTCTGGCACGAGGTGGCTGCCGACGCAGTGGCTTCGCGTGTCGAGTCGCCGTCGGCCGACGCATGCTTTGACGACGGACCCAAGCCCCTTGAGCCGGCCGCGAGTGGCGTGGCCACCCGCCACTACTACGGCGGGTGCTGGAGCCCAGAGTTTGGGTCGGACGACGACGTGTTTGACTTTTACGTCGCCGCCAACCACAACTCGGCGTCGAGCTCGTGGGAAGTTGAGCTTGACGGTGAGACGCTGACCTCGGGTGCGCCGTCTCGGCTCTCTGGCTCGATCGGATTGCCGTCGCACTGCCCGAGCGTGAACCAAAAGTGGTTCAAGTGGTCCGGTTACACGATTGCGGCCGGGACACACAGCGTGGTGTTCAAGGAAATCTCGGGCTCGTCGTCGTCGGCGCTGACCATGGTGGTCAAGCCGAGCTCGACAGGCACCATCGCCGGGGTCTTTGCGACACGGGTGAGCGGGCTTGTGGCCGGCGGTGAGTATGAGTTCCGGGTCCACTCTGTGATGGCATCAGCCAAGAATCCGATCTCGCCTCCAGCAGCGGCTGCCGGTGGTAGCGTGCAGCTGCCTGCGGCACCGACGAGTGCGCCTGCGGCACTGCAGCTGACTCGGGCCGATGTGGCGGGTGTGCAGGCGCGGTTTGCGTGGTCGCTGGGGGCTCGGGCGCCCGAGTACGTCACCCACGTGTCGGTGGTGATGGAGCCGGTGGCAAGCGGGCGGCGTGTCGAGATGGTGGTTGATCGCGAGGAGTGCTCGGCGGTGGTCTCGGGCCTCTCAGAGTTCACCAGCTACCGCTACAATGTGACGGCGTACAACGCGGTCGGCGCGTCGCAGCTGGTGACCGGCGCCATGCAGACCGGTGCCGGATTCCGTACGACACCACGGTTCCGGCCGGTCTTGTCCAAAGTCGGCATTGCGCTCCTCTCGACCTTCCTCATCCTCGGCTTCCTCCTCACCTGCCTTGCTGTCAAGGCGTGCTACGACCGCGGCGCGTTCCCGGAGGACTACGTCCGGGTGGCGCAGACCGGCGGGCCTCGCGCCAGAGCTTCGGCGTCGAGCGCTATGGTAGATCTGGAGGCGACGCCGATTCCAGCGCCGTTTCCGGCCCTGCCGGCAGGCATGAATGCTGCCATCACGTCATCTGATGACGACGTGGGCTATGGCATGGACATCTTTGACGTCAAGCCGCGAGCCCGCGCCGGCAGCATTCCGGACCCGCCGCCGCTCCCGCCCGGCAGCGATGGAGCAACGCTGCCTGCGCTCCCATCGTACGGCGAAGCCATTGATCTCAAGAACCTGTAGCTTGCGCCAGGCGTCGGTTGGCGTTGGTTAGCGTCGGCGTCAAAGACTGACCTTTGCAGCGGCAAGCGCAATTTTTGCGGGGCGCGGCACGCTCAGCGGTGCGGTGGAAAAGCAAACGTGTGGGTCATCGCAGGACACGAGCCGGAGCGAGGAGGGGAAGGGAAGGGAACGGGCGAGAGGGAAGGGGAGGCTGAACAGAGGTGAGATAGAGGGTAAGACTAGGGGTGTAGCATGGGGACATGCGCAAGTACGGGCATGCGACTGAGCGTAGGCAGCAGGTGTAAGCATGTATGTGTGTGTGTGTGTGTTTGTGTGTGTGTGTGTGGACCGCTGGCCAGCAGCATGGCATCCGGCGAGCGGAGCTTTTTTTTGCGGCGATTCGGTGCCTGTGTCACACGTCTGAGATTGCTTTATCGACTCGGTATAGACTTTCTTGCCTCCACCCATTACTCTCGCAGTTCTCGTCTGTTTTCAGTCATGGTGCATGGTGCGGACGAGCGTCCGTCCGAGCTGATCATCCATGGGCGTGTCTATGACGTTTCTGGCTTCATCAAGCGTACGTAGAGTGGAGACAGAGAGAGAGAGTGTGTGTGTGTTTGTGTGGAGGGGGTGCGGGTGCGGAAGGAGCGGGAAGAGCAACGGGCGAGGGGGCAGGGGGGGGGGTACAGGCCGTGGTGACGGGATGGGAGGCAATGAGCAAAATGAATGTCCCGTCTGTTTTCAGGCGCACGTGACCGTAGCGGGGCGTGAGGCAGAGAGGGGCGTGGGGAGGGGCGTAGGGAGGGGCAGGCACACGAGGAGGGACTTACGGGTGCGGACAATGTATGGGGCCGGTTGGGGCGTGTGGCGTGCGCGGAAGACAGGGCACCCAGGCGGCTCGGTGATCAGGTACATGCTCGACCGTGATGCGTCGCACGCGTATGACGAGTTCCACCAGCGGTCGGAGAGCGCGGACAAGTTCCTTGCCTCGCTGCCGTCGCGGCCTGTGGAGGCGACGGATGTGCGTGTGGATCGGTCTGCGGTGATGGCGGACTATGAGAAGCTCCGGCGTGATCTTGTGGCTGAGGGCTTTTTCGAGCCGTCGCTGGTCCATGTGGTGTGGCGGTTTGCCCAGCTGGCGCTGCTCTCGGTCCTCGGCGTGTGGCTCCTCCTCAACGGGTGGGTGGTGAGTGGGGTGCTTGTGATGGGCCTGATGCAGGGGCAGTCGGGATGGCTGCAGCACGAGTGCGGGCACTACTCGCTGACGGGCAAGGTCGGGCTCGACCAGCTCCTGCACGAACTGCTGTTTGGCGTTTTCTCCTCGATGTCTGCCTCGTGGTGGCGGAAGCAGCACAACAAGCACCACGCGCGGCCGCAGCAGCTGGACGCGGACGTCGATCTGTTCACCCTCCGTTTGTGGCATTTGCCAAAGAGGTGCTTCCTGAGCAGCAGGCCTCGCTGTGGATCAAGTTCCAGGCCTTCCACTACTTCCCGATGCTGGAGATGCTTGCCCTGTTCTGGTCGTTCTACCTCCAGCCGCGGCATGTGGTGCGGACGAAGCGGTACCGCGAGGGTGTGTTTATGGCGATGAACCACGGGTACCGGCTGGCGCTTGGTGTTGCGGCGACGGGCTCGGTGTGGGGCACGCTTGCGGTGTACTTTGGCATCCAGACGGTGCAGGCCATGTATCTTTTTGGCCATTTTACCGTCTCGCACACGCACCTCCCCGTCCTTGCGGCCGACGAGGACTTGTGCTGGGTGGAGCACACGCTGCGGACGACGATGAACATCGAGTCGTCGTGGTGGTGCGACTGGATCATGGGCTACCTCAACCTCCAGATCGAGCACCACCTGTTCCCGTCGATGCCGCAGTTCCGCTTCTCGCAGGTCTCGCCGCGGATCCGGGCGCTGGCCGAGAAGCACGGCATCCCGTACCTCGAGGACTCGTACGTCAACGCTTTTTACCGTACCATTGCCAACCTGCACCACGTGGGCCAGTCGGCCGGCGAGGCGCAGAACAAGACCGTCTCGTACGACGCCGTGCCCAATGTCACGGCTCTCAAGCGCAACTTGCACTCTTAGGCGGCTGCCTTGCGACGCCGTCTTTCAGGGGCGCAGTTGCCGGTGGCGGGTATGGGCAGTGGCCTTTGTGCGGGCCACTTGCATCAGTAGCCGCAACTCTTTCAGCAATTCCCTCTTTCTCTCTTTGTCTTTTCCCGGCTCGATTTGCCTCTGCTTGGCCGGCGTTAAACGCACGTCTTATTTGGCGGCCGCGGGAAGCGGGTGTGGGAGGAGCGAGGTCAGGCGTCGGGCGCGAGAGCCTGCTCGTCGACGAGGCGGAGGCCATCCCAGTACGTCCAGTCAAAGGGCGCGTATTTGATGGAGCATTCCGAGCCGGCGTCGAGGAGGCGGCGAAGGCGAGCGTAGGGGTCCTCGTCGAGGTAGCGAGCCACCTGGCGCAGGATGCCATACTTGACAGCGAGCTTGGAGCGTGCGGCGTGGTCAAAGTCCTTGGCGTACCACTGGCAGACGCGCGGGAGAATGATGGCGGACTTTGCCTCGTTGAGCTCGACAAAGGCGTTGACGTGGCACGAGGCGACGTAGTCGAGCTGCTCGTCGAGTGCGGCTGGGGTGTAGACGAGGATCCAGGGCAGCGATGAGCGGGTGCCGAGGTTGATGGCGTAGTTGACGCGGGCATCGCGGATGGAGAGGGCAAACGGGTAGCCCTTGTTCCTGTTGAGCTTGAGCCTTTTCTGGCCAAACTTTGGGATGAAAAAGTCGTAGATCTTCTTGGGCCGGGCCATGCCTGCGCGGAGGACCGAGTGCTGGATCTCCGAGAGCGAGAGGACGTAACCAGCAACCTCGTAGGAGGCGCGGTTGTAGAATGATTTGCGGGAGAGGGCCGACGACGGGTGGCCCATGACGAGGAGGGCGTGCTGGAGGAGGGTGTGGAAGAGGTTGAGGAAGAAGGCGAGCCGCTGGTTCTCATCGAGGTCGGTGAGCTCGACAAGCTTGAGGTCTGCCGTCGAGTCGAGGAACGAGGTAATCTCTTCGGTCCGCGAGTCTGGGCGGAGGGTGGCGACGGTGCGGAGGAGCGACTCTACGATGGCGAGGGCCGACGGGCCGTCGGCGGGGAGTGGGCGGAAGGCCATTTTGCGGGCGTTGAGGACAACGCGCTGGCGCTTCGAGTCCTTGCGCGGGGCCTTAAAGACGTAGCCGGTTGACGCGGCGTCGCGGGCGGCGGGCGAGCCTGCGGCTTCCCAGCCGAGCGGGGCGGTGGCGTCTTCTGAGGCGACTTCGTCGCCGACGGCACGAGGCGGTAAGCTTGCAGCGGCGGCGGCCGAGTCTACTGGCGCATCGTCGCCGGTGGCTTCGGCAAAGATGGTCATCGACGGCGAGCGCGAAAGGTCGGGCGTGGGCGCAGGCGCGGGGCCTGTGGCAGGGGAGGCCAGGCGGGGGGCAGGCACTGCGTCGCGGGCGACGAGGGCGGCGCAGGCCATGGCGACGGCGTGGACAAAGGCATCACGTGAGGCCTGTGACCGCATACACATGTAGAAGAGGCGGCCGGGAGTCTCGATCTGGAAAAAGTGCAGCGAGCCAAAAGGCATGTCGTCCTCGTCGACGGCGGTGACAGCCATGACCTCGCCCAGTGCGATGGTCTGCAGCGGCTTGCGCGAGCGAGCGCTGTAAAAGGCGAGGCGAGCAGGAGTGAGGACGGCCCACTCCTCGCGCCAGAATGTCTCCCACAGCGAGCGGGCAACGGGTGCCTCGTGAAGGATTTGCGGGGCGGCACCCTTGGTGCCCTTGGCGGCCGGCAAGCGAAGCTTGAGCTCGGGACGCTTGGTGTTGGAGAGGAAGAGGGTGTCCGCGAGGGTCTGCTGCTGGGCAAAGGCACAGGCGAGCTCGTTCTCTGTCGAGTCGCCGGCCTCGCGCGGGACGAGGGCCGAAAGAAAGACCGAGAGCGCCTGGCGCTGCTCTTCGATGGTCTGCGGCTGCGAGGAGGGGCGGATGAGGCGGGTCGGGAGGGGCTCGTGGTCGGGGAAGGAGGCCTTGCAAGCGGCGTCGAGCTTGACAAAGTCGCCGAGGGTGCGGAGGACGGAGAAGCGGACGGTGCGCGACGAGTCGTCGGCAGCGTCGTCGTCGTCGTCCGAGTCGGAGAGCTCAACGTCGGGCCGGTCGTCGTCGGAGAGATCGCCGGCGTCAAAGGAGCTCGCGGCTGGCCGGTCGGCGGGAAGCAGGTACTGGCGCGAGACCACGCCTGCGTCCGAGTACGTGTGGTCGTCGGTGTAGATAGAGTTGGTGTCGTCGAGCTCAGGAAGGTCGTCGTCGTCCGAGCCAGCAGAGTGCGAGCGGGTGCGCGAGAGTGGCGGAAGCGGCGGCGCTGCGGCGACGGCGCTGAGCTCGTTGCCGTTGTCGTCGTCAGAGCCCGGAGCGGCGGCGAGCGGCTCGAGGCCGCCGAGAGCGAGGTCGAGGCGGGACGAGGTCGAGGTGTGCGGCGAGTCGGTCGGCTCGGGCTGAAGCTTGAGGGCAAGGACCGAGATAAGGAAGACGACCATGCGTTGGCCGGAGGCACCGAGGGCGCACTCGGCCCAGATGGGAACCGACATGTCGAGGATGCGGATGGGCTCAAAGAAGACGGTTGACGGCGGTGCGACTGGTGGGACCGAGAGCGGGGGCTCGGGAGATTCTGCCTGGATCGGGCGCTCGCCGCTGCCACGCGACATGGTGGGAGTGAGGAGCGGTGGCGGAGCCATGGTGACCGGGCCTGACGGGCCGGCGGGCTCGTCGGGAGTGAGGGGCGAGTCGCTCGAGTCTTCGTCGCCGTCTTCGTCGTCATACGCGTACTCGTACTCGTGGTCGGGCGCGTTGGGGTCGGCCGCGGCAGCATCAAAGGCGCGTAGTGGCGACCAGTCGACGACACCGCCGGTGTGTGCAAACTCAAAGGCAAAGAGGTAAGTCTTGTCGGCGGTGAGGTGCGGACGGTGGGTAAAGTCGCCATGGCCCATGGTGTAGGCGACGATGCGGAGCGGCTGATCGGCGACAAACGAGGTGAGCTCGAGGTCTGAAAGGCCTGGGATCTTGACAGCCTTCCACTGGACAAGGTCGAGGTTTGCCGAGTGGAACGAAAGGGTGTAGGTGTCTGTGGTGGTAAAGGTGTCGTCGATGCGGGCGTTCTTGCGGCGTGCGGCGTTCTCGTCGTCTGTGCCCGGAAGCATCATGACGCAGAGATCAGGCGGGCTCTCTCCGGGCGGAGTGACAATGTAGCGGTCGACCGACATGGTGAGCGGGAAGACAATGTGTGGGAGCTCCGAGTCGTCGCGGGTGCCAAACGACGAGTGCAGGCCGCGGATCATGGACTTTGCGAGGCGGAGGGCGATTTTCCGGCGGAGCGGGTAAAGAAGCCCATCTGGAGGTTGGAGGGGACTTCAACGCCCATGTAGAGAGTGCCTTGCGGAACAACCTTAAACTTGCCCTGGATCTGGATCTCGAACGAGCGCTTGCCGAGGGCAAAGTACGGGGCGTAGTGCGGGTCGGGCGGGTCCGAGATCATCTTGACGATCATGCGGCCAGAGAAAAAGTCGTTGTCGATGACAACGGGCTCGCGGGTGTTGGGCGTGACATACTGCGGGATGGCGCCCTGTGCAAGCTGGCGGATGGAGACCGGGAGCCGCGGCGGTGGCTGGACGGTGGCCCGGGCCACACGCTTGCGGACCTTTGTCCGCGAGCCGGTCGGCGGCGCGCCGACCGAGGGTGGCAGCGAGCCACCCGAAGGCGGCAGCGGCGCGTCTTCCTCTGGGCTGGCGCCCGGGAGAGGGCCGGGAGCCGCGGTGAGCGGGCGGTAGTCGGCGGCGTAGAGCGGGAGGGCAGCAAAGTGGAGGGCGGCGACGAGCGGGAGGGCGGCGCCAAGGGCCACCGAGAGAGCCCACACCAGCGGGAGGGTGCGGGCGGCAAGGAAGACGGTGGCCAGGACGGCTGCCGCGCCTGCGGGGGTGGTCAGCACCGCCGGGAGCGCCGGCGGGCTTGTTTTGGACATGGGTGGGGTGGGGAGAGGTGGCGGTGTTCGGGGAGTCACACGGCGAGGGGTGGGCTTGTAATGGGAGGGCTGCGGGGGAGGGATGCAGGGGACCGGGATCGGGGGCGGCATACCATGTTGTGCCGAGCCGTGATGGTGTATGTGTGTGGCGGGGGGGGGGGGGGGAGGTGAAGGCGCGGCGGTGTGGAGGGGTTGGGGGGGGGGGGGGGGGGTGCGGCATGGTGATGAGCGCAGCGGTCAGGTGGGGTAGAGGAGGTCAGGCGTCGAGGAAGTTCTGTGGAGGAGAGAGGGTGAGGTGATGATGGGTGAGGTGATGAGGATGGGGATGGAGGGGCTGGACACGACAGAGAGAGGAGGGAGGAGAGGACG